TATGTTGATGTGTTTGCGGTTGAGAGTTTCTATAAGAACTGAGTAATTGGTTGCAATACTTTCTTTTAAGTGTGTAATTGATTTAAAATGAAATACGAGTGTTCTCTATATTAATTTATTTGAGATAACACCGCTAAAAAAAAAAAAGCAGAACGTTACATAAAATAAACACATTTCAAAGTTTAACCGAAAGTTAAAGGCTATATTATCTCCCACCTTATCCTATAATCTTTTTAGTAGTCTCCGAAATATGCCCTACTAGTTTGATCATTCTATGAATTATCAACCACTAAATCAAAAAGAGAGCAAAGTTATGGATTCATGTTGTCGTTGTATCGGGACTCACGTGGGATGATGTATGTGATTGCATGCAAACCAAAACTTTCAAAAGGTGGCAGACAATAATGGTCGTTACTAATATGCCTAACTATTATAAATACCACATATTTATGTATTATAAGTAAATTTACTACATTAAATATATATATATGTGTGTATATTATTTAAATATAATATAATGGAAAGAGATTACCAACGGGTGATGAAGTCCACTAGATTGCCCTTTGGAAAATGAGCATAGCAAATGAAGCATGCCTAAAAATAAATTAATATTTTAAATTGTTACGAAAAATACCGTCAAATTTTAAAATAATAAGATATAATTTAAAAATATTTTTTTTTATTATTTATTTATTATTCTAAAAATAATTTTAAATAATAAACGTAAAAATAAAAAACTATTACAAAATTATTATTCTCATGTGATAGAATATATAGTCCAATTATATAATGCCCTCGCGTGGTAATGTTAAAATACAAACACATCACTAATAATGTGTGTATATATAAATATATATATATATATATATTAACTATATATTTACATATTTAATTTTAAAAAATTAATAAGACCATATTTTTGAGTTAATATTTTTTTCATTTTCAACAAATCGGAAGGTGAAAGTTTAAATATAGTCTAGTGGAATAGAGATATATATTACGTTTAAAAAATTTAAAATTAATAAATAATGGCATATAATTAAATTATTATTATAACAATAAGCTTATTATATATTATAAAGTGGAAGTCACGCGATGCACATGACATATATTACTTATTTATTTACTACATTATTTGTTTACGAGAAATTAATTTATATAATTATTTTTTTATGTTAATATATATAGATATGTTATATTAATGCAAAATCTGAAAAGATCCCTTTTGATTTCGGCTCGTGGGGTGGCTGTACTGTTGACTAAAAATAACATATATGTGTACGTATACATATTGTATATATGGATTATTATTGAAAATATTGAAAAGTCATATAAAGCCAAATG